AGATGATGGGGAAAGAGACGGCGTTCCGGTTGGAAAATTTTGGTACAACTTGAACTACTCAACGGACAAAGAGCGACTGAAGCGTTTGAGAAAATTCGACGACGCGTCGAAGCATGCGCTCGAGTATCTCGAGACATGTGTGTTGCGCGAACATGGCTGTGCATGCAGGTACACAGCGCACGACGCGCGCAAGTTGAAGATTTTCAGCGCGCACGTCCGCGACCACTTGGATGGCAAGTTGCCGAGAGGGAACGATGTGGCCACACTCGCGCGATGGGACCATGAAGATGATGGGGAAAGAGACGGCGTTCCGGTGGGAGAGTGGTGGTACAACTTAACCCGCAATATCCGGTTCCAAGAGCGACTGAAGCGTTCGAGAAACTTCGATGACGCGTCGAAGCATGCGCTCGAGTACCTCGAGACGTGTGAACCAAGAAAACCCAAGGCACGAGGCCGAAAGGCTAAATAAGGCTGATGAAGAGATGAATGAGCTGATGATAATAACGGTCTCCATGCGAATAGAAAAACATTGTAATTCATCTGTCGATACATCCAAGCGAGTTTCTGAGAACAGAAATATAGTCCGTCCCGCGAATGACGGAACGCGCACAGATGACGGAGCGAGGAGACATGCGAATCGCTCCCGGTGAGATGGAGAGCGGTGGAGGGAGATGAAGAGCGGTGGAGAGGGGTGGAGGGAGATGGAGGGCCGTGGAGAGGGGTGGAGGGCATGAAGTTGAACGCCTCCGCCCACGGGAGGCGCGCGCTCGTGCTCGCGGAGTCGTTGACCGTCGCCCAGTAGCGCAGCACATCTAGGAGCCGTGCGACGTTCTCGTCCGCGAGCTTTGGGCGCGCACGCCGAAAATATGTTGGCACCGACGTCATTTTCAGACGAAATTCCAAACAATACAAGGCGTCAACGCGAAGGATGAAGCAGCTTTTAGCACGCTTGCACCTCAAGTTCACTCGTTGGATCGAACACGAACACAAGACCGTGGCGAAATTTTTGGTCAATCGATACGACGGCATCATTTGTCCACCACTCGATGGTGCCATGTTTGTTCGACAGGCGAACGACACACGCGCGCAGAAAAAAATGAAGCGACGATGTCGTCGTTTGAAGAGCGCGACGTCGATGCGAAAACTCGTGCACGCGTTGAAGTATGCGGCGATTCGCGATGGGAAGTACGTGATGACGGAACGCGCGATTGAATTGGGGACGCCCATGACGTGCGGTTTTTGCGGGTGGCGACATGAGCATCTCGGGTTTGAGCGAACGTTTGAATGTCATGTCTGCGATTTGAGCATTGATCGTGACGTGAACGGTGCTCAAAATAACGGTCTCCAAGCGCTCGCGGACGGTGGATTCGGAAGACCGCCCGAGTACTGGAACACACATGCGTGAGCGAGAACACAAAAATAGTCCGTCCCGCGAATTACGGGACGCGCACAGATGACGGAGCGAGCGATGCAAATCCCTCCCGTAGATGTCATTGAATAGGAAACTATTGTAATTCGATGCATTGCTGTACGTGTTCGAAGCGCAGACCGCTCAGGTCCTTGGTCTTCCCCTTTGGTGCCGTCTTGATGCATCGTCGCACCAGTTCCCGGCCAATCTGAACGCGAGCGCCTTCTTTGTCGTCTGAGCTCGACGAGTTTGTCAAGCGTCGCCATCGTCGCCGGCGCACAGCCGTCGCTCTCGAGGAGCGCCATGGCGGCGCTAATTCCTCTCGGGTGTGCTGTGCGCTTCGCCGCCGTGTCTCTATTCCGACATGTGTAACGACGGTAGTGCCGCCGACGCCCGAGATACGTATTCGGTGCTTCCAAAAAATTTTGGAAGCACCGATACGTATTTATGAACGTTGTTAGTATATGAACATTCGCCATCGCTCAAGACAAATGAAACTTGGAAGCGGCGAGTTCTACAACATTATCAACTATCGGCATACATGAATGAAGGACGCTACTGAGTTACGGGTTTTTTTTCTCAAAAAGTCGTCACAGTCGCCCACGCGCTCGATGCCGCGCGCGGTGCCCGCGGACGCGGCGGCGAAGCGCAGACGGTGCGTCGAAGATGCGGAGGACGCGCGGCGAGGAGCCGAGCCTACGGGGTCGAAGCGGCGAGCGCAGCGGGACCTGGACGAGGGGCGGCGATTCTTATTACGCGCCTTCTCGACCGACTGCTTCCGACGCGCGGACGAGACACCGACCGCGTCACCGCGCGTGATGGATGAGCAAACGTTCAAGCACATCTTGGAGGGTTTTTACGGCGGCGACGTCGAGGCGATTCTCAACTCATGTCGAGACGAATCCAACGAGGCGTGGAGCGAGAGCGACGTCGAGGAGGCGATGCGCGCGTTGCACGAGGATGGGAAGACGATAAACGCCCCATTTTGTTTCGCCCCGGGAGCTATCGAGCTCAAGAGATTGATGCATCTCGAGTCGTGGCGAGTGCTACGGAGAGGTGGTGCTAGCGACCGCGGCGACTCTGATGTGAACACGTGGCAGCGTCGGTTCGATACGCGCGCGTACGAGCACGCGCACAGAGACTCGGAGACGGCTTTCGCGACGTGCGCGGACCCGACCTTCGATGGTCAACTAGTGTGCGGTGTGCACTCGGGAGAGTGCGAAGTTGGTGTGTACGTGTCTCGCGCCGGCGGGGACGTCGCGGAATGGCACCGCGACATCGGAAATAATTTCACCGTTCAACTCACCGGCGGTAAGGAGTGGGAGGTTGAACATTACACGCAACGCGACGGTAGAGGTGTCGTTGCGTTTAATAACGCGGCGCTTATTGATAAGCCCAGGTGTGGCGCGGATTATTTCCTTCAACCTCCCGCGTGGCCTCGGTCCGTCGATAAATCCACGGTAAAAAGGTTCTGCATCAACGCCGGGGAATCGGTGAGCATATCGAAGGGACGATTTCATCGAGTCACGCCTGTCGGTAAGGATATTTCTGTATCGATCGATGTGCGGGTGACAAGCTTTTCTGTCGAAGAACGGTTTGCAGAGGGAACTTTCCTGCGTTATCTCGCGACTCGTTCGCGCGATGAATGGTTGAAGCCCTTCTTTCAGCAGGTGACAACGTTCGCTGATTCACCTTTGGTTCGAGGAGACGTCTTTCCTCCGTGTTTAAATGATTTTCCAATGCCACAGATTTGCTGGTTACCGTTTGAGACTGACTTCTCTGACGGTTTAGTGCTCGGCGCGCGTCTAGAGTACATCGTCGGCGCGGCGCCGAATGTCGCCGGTCATTTTGACACGTATAGTTCGTACAGCAGCATCTTGTCCAAGAAAATTGACGACGAACTCGTTGGTCTAGTTTTCAATCCAGTGTGTACGTGTGCGTGCACGACAACCGGCAAATATCACGTGTTGAACATCAAGGCCACGTCGGCGATCACGAATAGAGACTTGATGAGCGAGTTCAACATATACGTCGATCGTTCTTCCGTGAACGAGCGCGAGATGGAGGCATTTGAGAATCCGTTTACGTTCGTGCGGAGTGAGCCAAGAAATGCGAGTAAGGTGCAACGGATTCGCGTCGGCACGCCCGTAGACGTGTGCGCACCGGATAGTTACGCGATAACTGAGGCCTTTGGCGCGTTGCGACACGTCCTCGCGGATGCGGGCATCCTCATGGAACAAAGGAAGAGCGACGTGCTGGACTTTTGGAAAGCCGCGTACGCACGTCACTACGGTGGTAGATTAATTCCTGATGATGCGGATGCTGGTGTACCATAGTGTTACAGACACATTTGAATTTTAGAAGCATCAACTCGACGCACGCTCCGCATGTGCTAACGCTTTCGCTCTCGCCCGTCGCGCCCGTCGACGCCGCGCTCGCCACACTAATAAAACTGCGAACACCCCTAAAAGCGCAAGATACGATCGCATCTTTCGCGAACTGCTCGATCCCGAGTTGATGGTGTCGGCATTGAGAGGGTGTCGTTGGTCGGCGCGCTCCGCGACATCGACGCCGCTCGTTCTGAGCTTCTCGTCCTCTGTACCATGGTGAATACTGAGGTCCGCTGCGGCAACCTTGAGACGTCCCGGGAGGTCGGTGTACGAAACCTTGGCGTCGTGGAACTCCACAGGCGCGTTCGGTCCACATTTCATCGAACCTTCGTTCCCTGGTCGACCGCCGAGCACGGTGCTAAACTTTGAAAAATCCACTGTTGTTTGTCTGGCCGGTAGTGGTTTATTGTCTGACCAATCGAGGGTGACACGCGCGTTCAAGTCGCAAAGTGCATGTGAGCACGCGCCAGTCGCAGCGAATTCGATTCCTTTCCGCGCGAATCCAAAACACGCACTCTGCATGTGTGAGCTATCGACGCAGTTTGAATCGACAAACGCGAATACTCGTCCTTTCCCCGCCTGAAAGAGAGTCAAGAACGCGAATTCCTGTTGTTTATCACTTTCTTTATCTTTCAGACGCGCCCGATGGACGTACGCCCCCGCAGGCGCACGGGATACGCACGTGCCGCTGGAGACGAGCACCTTTTCTCCATCGACGTTGACCGATCCTTCGGTGAGATCGCCGCCGAACTGCACCCCGAATTCGTTGAAAAGATCATTCAAGGCCGGAATATTAGCACCTCCGGTCGCCGCGTGCCACTCGTAATGCGTGTTGTCGTCAAAAAACTTTATTTTGTCCAACATGCTCTCGTCGTACCACTCCGCGAACACCACCAATCCGAGACCTTCCTCGCGCACGTCGCGAGTGAGTTTAGAGATTTCGTCGCTCGAATACTCTTCTTCGAGGTCAACCATGAGTAAAGCACCGTAATGTTTCGCGTCGAAGCACGTGTAAGGAGATCCCAGAACTTCGATGAAGTACCCGGCGTTGGTCAACTCGTCGTACCACTGATGGAAGTTCGTATGAGGATGATCGCCGTGCCAATCCAAAACGTCGTGTCTGATGTCTATGTTGTCGCGAGGAATGTATCCAGGGGGGTACCGAACGTTGTGAAACTGGTCCCAGAGCAAGCGCTTCTCTCGATTCGGCGTCGGGATGATGTTGACGCGAAGCGTCATCTCAACCTCTGAAACGCGCGGCTTGTTTTCGCCGCGCGCGCCGGGAGAGGCGACCGTGAAGCGCACGCGGCCGCTTGCGATCCCAGACTCGGACGCTCCCTCATCCTTCACGCGCACATAGAGCGCCAAGTATCCGGAATACGGCCAGAGCGTTTCCGAGAACGCGAATCGAACGTCTAATAGAGCACCTAAATCGTCCGCGCTCGGCGAAAACTCCGGACCGTGAACGATTTCACCGTGCGTTCCAAGTCCATTCACGATTGTCGCGTTCAGCATCAGAGGCATCATCGTTGCGTATATTCCCTGCTTGCAGTGCGGCCAGGCGTACGGGCACTGCGTTAAGTCAAACGTGTGAGGAACCACCGACGCGCGCGGTTCGTACTCCCTCAAAATCTCCGCCGACTTCAACAAGTTGAGCTTACCCGCGCCCTGTTCATACATGTGCGCCGAAGATTTCAAGCGCGTCGCACCTTCGACGAGCGCCTGTTTCATCACCGCTGGATTCAGAATCGACCATCTCTTGCTCTCGGGAATGATGGAACTGAGAAGCACCGCCGCGCCGGCGGCGACTGGCGACGCGACAGATGTGCCGGAAAGTGACCGACATCCGTTAGTCGTCTTACTCGCCCAAACCTGTTCGCCGTACGTCACGATGTCCGGTTTCATTCGTCCGTATCCACTCGGGAGCTCCCACGTGCTCATACCGCGCGAACTGAATGCGGCGATCTCCTCATCGTCGTCAATGCCACCGACTCCTATTATGTCCAGTCCATCGGCGGGATTGTTCAGAGTCCCGTACATCGGGCCGTCGTTCCCGATAGCGCTGATCATGATGATTCCAGACGCCGTGATCTCGTTCACTTTGTCTGTGAACGGCTTGTCCAAGTAGTCCGGGCCTCCGATCGAAAGATTGAGCACGTGCACGCCAGTCGCGATGGCGTAATTGAAACCGTCCAGAAACCAAGACGTGTACGAATTTTGATCATTCGTAAACACTCGAAATGTGTGAATGAGGGCGTCTGGGGCGAATCCCGCGCACGCATTGTTCGTGCCCGCGACCACGCCCGCGACGAAGCTCCCGTGTCCCAACTGATCTTCGAGCTGATTCTCGTTTGTCCAGTTCGTGCGCTCGACTATGTTTCTAAAATGTGGGTGCTTCTCGGCGATTCCTGTATCGAAAACCGCCATCTTGATACCAGCCCCGGTGTAGCCCTGGTTCCAGAGCTCTTCCGCGCCCATTTTCACCGCCACGCTTCGTGCGAGCAAACGTCGCCCGCGGCGGGAGGTGGAGAACTGTACCTCTCGCGCGCCCGTTTCACCGGCTAAAGCCGACCGACGAACGAACCGCTGTTCGCGATGCACGTCACGCGCGATCCCGCGAAGCGCGAGTCGAATCGCATCCAATCCGGCGTCCTCACCAATCGCGTTCGCGCCCTTGCTTGCGCCGGTTGAGCCACCGCGTTCTAGTTCTTCAACGAGGACAAAGTCCGTCGGGTAAGACGTCGTCGCGATGTTCTCGCGCCGTCGCACTCGCCAAGCGCGCGCGCGCGCGTCGCACGCATCATTCTCGGTGACACCGCGCGCGAGCGCGCTCGTCACCCTGCGCTCGTGCGCGCCGACGTCGTCGTAGTCGTCGAAGCGAACGATGAATGTGTTCTTCGTCGTCCCGTCCACTCGCGCGTCAAACGACGCCGCGCAGGGCGAACACGAGGAACACAAGAGCGCGACGACGAGCGATACCACGCTCGGCGTCGTCGCGCGACGACGACGACCCATCGCACGCACGCGCGGGACGAAGTGCGGAGCGACAGAAATCGAAAAGGGGACACCCGAAACACAAACTGCATGGTTGGGCGAGAGGCATCGTTGGAGACCAGTTTCCGCGGGACTCGCGCGCGGCATCGGTACGCGAGCGCGTGGGCGACGAGTGAGGAGTGGTGTCTCCTTGTTGCACTACAATCTAAGACGCCGCGCACGCCTGCACGAACGCCGACGAAAGACTCAACTGTTTCTCCAAGGACAGGTCGAGATTACTCTGGAAAGAGAGCTGCGGAGTGACAAATATTTGATTCGACACCTGCGACAGGGCCTCGCAATCGATCGTGCGACCGCGATACACGGACTCGATGATTGGCTCAAACGCCTCCTTACGAACGAGGTAAAAGTCGCTCGATCGCATGTCGCACCCTTTGTCGCGCATGACGCACGTGAAAGCGTTCAAGCGATGGCACCTACATACCGAGGGACACTTCTCATCTCCCACGATCTTGCTCGTGCTCTCCCACGGCCTATCTATGAACATTGTTCTGTATCCGAGACGAATGGTCTTCCAGTCGGGCGTGCGTTTCATGGCGTCTCTCATGTGCGCCATATTTTCGTACAGAACTCTCAAACCTTCGTTTCTATCGGCGAGATCGCGCGTGATGACGTCCTCCTCTACGATGGCGATCGTTTGGTATCCTTGTTTGATCGCGTCCATCATGGCGTGCGCGTGCGAAAACGACGCCTTGAGCCAGTGATTGACGCCCTCCGTCTGAAGACACTTGTCAATCTTGAGTCCGTGCACGAATGATGACTTCCCTTTCCACTCACGCGGGATATTCAGAGAGCATTTCATGCACAGAATATAAATGTGATCCGCCAGATCTGCGAGCTTGGTACTGTGAGCGGAGAACTTGGTAAAGCCGGCGGGCGTTTTTCCGAGCTCGCTCTCCGTCTGTCCGCCGCCCTTATTCCCGAGTGACCTTTCCGGCGGCGCGGTGTACGCGCTCGGACAGTCGTCCCGCGTCGCCCCAAGCTTGGGAAGCGCGTGCACTGCCTTTTCTTTCGGATCGATCCCACGCTTCATCAAATATTCCTCGCGACGTTCTCGTCGCTTTGCCTCGGCGTAGTTTTCGATCCACGCGTCGCGAGCGTATTCGCGAAACGCTTCCGCGACCGTGGCCTCGCTCACGTTCGACCAAGTCGTGTTAACGTGCGAATCGTCGTCGGTATCGTCACCCGACGCGATTGCCGACGCGGACGGGCGACTCTGTATCCACTGCCCTCGCCCGGGCGTCCCGACAACACCCTTCCCGGTGTCCGCATCGCGCGCGGCCGCCGCGACGCGCTCGACGCTGTCGATCCACACACCGTCGACGCGACCGCGCGTGACCTTCGGTCCCACTCCCCACGATGTGTTTCCACCGCCGCTTCCGTCGTCATCGTTCGACGCCGCGCTCGGCGTTCCCGCCAGCTCGAGCGGCGCCGACGCCGACGCGCGCGATCGTTCGCTCCCGCTCACGCCCTCGACATTGTTCGTCGTCAACACCGCGAGCGCGGAGGCGCCACCGATGATCGCGCACGTCATCCCCACCGTCCATCGATTGAACCACGCGCGACGCCCGCGTTCGCTCGTTTCCCCAATGTTGAGCTCGAGTCGAACATCTCGCGCGTCGCGTTCGTCCGCACCGTCGTCGCGCGCGTCGACGGCGGACGACGCGACGAGTCGAGATTGCTCGTCGATCCCGTTCGTCACGCGCGACATCGCGCTCGCGATCGCCGCGCGTCGACGTCGAGTCCGAGGCGTCGAGGAATGATGTCATGGGTGTTCGGCGATACCACCCTTTGGCGTGCACCGCGACGAGGGGCTGAGATGATGTGTCAGAGGTGCGCGTGCGTGTGACAACGCTCGGGGTCTTCGTCACCAGAGCTTGGGCCTAGGGACGCCGCGACGAGGGACGGAGGATATGAATTCGTGCTGCATGTCCCGAACCTTCTCGGCGCCGACGAGGGAGGCGCCGGCGAGACACGCCGCGATTGTCGCCGGCGCTTGCTGATCGAACGCCGCGCCGGTGACGGCGAGGAAAAGTCCGCTCGCCAATAACGCCTTGCTCGCGAGCATGCAGCGCTCTTCGAGCACACCGAGCTCGTTGAGAGCGGTTTTGCACGCGACGCAGTGCTTGGTGTGTCGATGATACCGATCGAACTGCTCGGCTTCGGACTTCACCTTGGACGCGTCGTCCACCACGCCCGGAGCCCAACGCACTTTCCCCCCCGCGTGCGTATCCATCCAATTCCTAAAGGTCGACACGCCCGCGTCCGCGGGCGTTGGGAGGTAGTACGACTGTTTCCAAGGTTTGTTCTGAAGCTCCATCTCCACTTCGACCCCGTGCATGGCTAAAATGTCTTGGTCGCCGAGATAGTACGCGTTCGATCCCGGAGGCGAGCCGTGCGAGAGCCCCACGCGCACGAGTTTGGGGTCGCTCGTGAAGGTGTCCAAATAGAAATCGAACAATCCCTTTGCCGGGGCGGTGATGAGAGCGTTCAAACGATCGACCGGTGAGACCTTACGCGCGCCCGCGCCTTGCACCGCACCCGATTGGTGCGCCTGAAACTTTGTAAACATTAACGTTCTGCCCGGCTCTGTCGGGGCGTACAAAATCGCGGCGCTCAAATACTTTCGACCCTTCGCGTCGAGGTATTCGCTTCGGCTCGAGCAAGGCGCGGTGAACACGCGCGACGCCGTGACGCCGACGTTGGACTTGTTGTAACCGCCGTGATCGACCACGAATCCGTCCTTGTTCATCGTCTCGGCGCGAAGACTAAAGTCCGTCATGGGTACGAATCCCGCGTTATCCTTTTCGGAGAGCTGCCCGTTCTCGTCGTACTTGGCGTGCAACCACTCCGCGTGGGACGGATCGAACTGATTCTCCAACGCAGGGGCGTACCCGACCGGGAGTTCGACCATGCCCCACTCGCCCGGCAGCGTTCCCTCCGCGGCGAGCGAGGTTGCGCACGCCGTCGTCGCGCTCAAAAGCGCCGCGTCCGCCCCGGACGTCGGCCACACCCACAAGATGCCGTCCTCCACGCGACACGGATAGCTCGTCGCGCACGACCGCGGCGATGCACAGGCTGTCTTCTCCGCCGCCTCGTCGACGGACATCGGAATGGCCACGCACTTGCCGTCCTTACCGTCAAAGGCCCATCCGTGATACCTGCACGCCAACGCTCCGTCTCGTTGCACGTAACCCAACGACAGAGGCGCGCGTCGGTGCGGACAGCTGTCCTCCAGCACGCGCCACTCCCCACACGTCGGATCGAGGTAAGCGACGAGCTTCTTCCCCAACACGCGAAGCTCGTTCGGTTCGTCGGGATCGAGGAAACTCGTCGGCCGAAGCGGATACCACGCAGAGAACCAATCGAACGACTCTCCATCGCCCCGCGTCGCCTGTTCCGACACCGACGTCGTGGACGACGCGACATCATCCGCCATCGACGTCGTCGAGCGCGCGCGCACTCGCGTCGCGACGCGTCGCCCGCGCGTCGCGTCGCTCCGCCCCGCGTCCGCGCGGCGTCCCCCGCGCGGCGTCGTCGTTCGACCCGCCACCGTCGTCACCGTCGTCACCGTCGTCACCATCGTCGCCGTCACCGTCGCGGTCGATCGCGATCGTCCGCCTCGTCTCCTTCGCGTTCCCGTGCGCGGTGTGCCGTCGTCCACAAATCGCTCGAGGTCGTCGTCGTCGTGCGTGGATGGACGCGGATACACCCATCCACACTCGGGTGTTTCGTAGCTGTGGATCCACACACATCCACACACTCGGGTGTTTTTTCGCTGGACACACCCACACACTCGGGTGTTTTTTCGCTGGACACACCCACACACCCGGGTGTGTCGTGCGCACCACCGACCCCGTCGGCGTCTCACGCGTCGGCGTCGGCGTCGGCGCGTCGCTCGGCGACGACGCGCGTGATCTCCGACGCGCGTCTCGCGCGTAACCCGACGTCTTCGCGCGTGATGACGTCGCGAGACGCGTGGGCGGCGTACGCGCGCACGTCGGCGGCGGATGATTTTAAAAATTCGAGCGACAGCGCGCCGAGCGCGTGCGCAGCCTTGGGCGTGAACGTTTTGTCGCGCGCGCGAGCCTCGCGCTCGGCGAGACGGAACGCGCGCGCGGTGAAGTTGGCGTCTACCGTCGCCTCGCTCGCGGTCGCGGAATCGCAATGCATGGCGCGTCGGAGGATGACGAGGGACGACCGCGTTACACGACGCGGGCGTTCTAGGACGCCAAGCGCTCGCCCGAGGCGCGCATGAGGGCAAAGGCGACGTCACCGCGAGCCGCGTCGCGGTGTCCTTCCTCGAACACGTCGAGCGTGCCCTTGACCCCGCGCCAAACCTCGGCGTCGCTCGCTCGTTTCAACAACCATGAGGCGTATTGCTTCAAGTTGAGAGACGCTCTCTTCGCCGGCGTGCGCAACTCGCTCGGGGCGCGGGAATATAGGTGGTGCAAAAGCACTCTCGGCGAGAGGTCGGCGATGAGAGGGGAGCGCTCGATGCTCTCCGTGGGTAAGAGTACGAGCGACTTGAACGCCTTCATGGATTTGAAGTCGCTCGATGACTCCGCCTCGACGCCGACGACGCCCGCGTGCGTCGTCAGCGCGTTTTCAATTTCGGTAATTTCCTTCACGAGACGCATCTTTCCACCTTGGTCGAGCTCACGAATCAACGACGCGTGCACGATGAGCGCGCGAGCGATTCGCTCCCCGAGCGCCAGGCGAGCCGCCATCAAGGGGCCGTGCGAAGCGGAGAATAGACCCGGATACGATTCGGCGACGTGCGCAATCGTGGACGTGACGGCGATGACGTTTTGCGCGCCCTTGTCTCCCGTTGCGGATTTGTAATCGCGATCGTGCATCTCCGCGAAACGATCATCGCACCAATCACCAACGGCGTCGAAGAAAGGTTTGGTCGCCTCGAACGCGGCCGCGGCGACGTGCTCGAGCCCAGCCTCGAGCGCGCGCCTGGGCGCGGGCGCAAACGACGGCAGCACCTTGCTCAACAAACCGTGCACTCTCGAGAGCTGCTCCGCGATCTGCGCGTTCGATCGCTGCGTCGGATTAGACTCCTCCAGTACGCTCGATTTCTCGATCGACCGACCGATTGACCGTTTGGCGCGATCGGCGAGCGCCTTGAGCGCCGAACTCGCGTTCCCGCACGCGTTGTTCAGCAAGTGATCGTAATCCGCCACGGCGTCAATCTCGTATCGAATGCGTGAGAGAAACGCATCCGCGCTCGTCCGTTCGATCGTTCGGCCGTTGACGAAACAATTGTTCGCCGATTCCGTGAGACGGGTGAGCGATCGGGCGAAAAAGGCTGCTGCGATTGGATCCACGGCGCGTAAAACTTGCGCGCGCGTCGAGCCATCTTTGCGAACGCATCCGGGCGCGCCCTTGGCGGCTTCCGCGTCGCGCGCGCACTTGTTCACGACGCCCTCGATGGCACCTATCAGAGTCGGGAACCCCTTTTGCAACGCGCCGGCGATGAAGCCCGCCGCGGCGTGCGTGCGAGACAGGTGTTCGCTCACCCCCTTGGCGAAGACGGCCCAGAAACGATCGCACAGCGCCTGATTGGAAGTCCTCCCGACAACTTCCTCGATGAATAGCGTCTGCGTGAGCGGATCGCGCTTCTTAGCCAGTACTCTTTGTAAATGCCACACGGACATGGCGTTGTCGTACACGGCGTCCATGGAGACGTCGATTCGACGCCACAACGCCTCCATCCACGCGCGCTCGGCGCCGTGCGGAGGCGCCGCGAGCTGTCGACCGCCTCGTCTCCCTTCGCCGCTCGTGCTCGCGCCCGCGGTGCGCCCGACGGCCTCGGCGTCCATGGCATCTTTCACCGCATCGATCGCCGAAGCGGCGTGAAACGACACGCGAGCGTCCACGACGTCACGCAGTTCATTCAGGTTGTAGTGCACCTGAAGCGCCGCGCCGACGTTGGCCTGCGACATGGCCTCCATGCCGCGGTCCAGCGCCGCGTTCGTCTCGCGACTGATCGCGCTCGAGCGCTCGCGAATGTACGCCATCTGTTCTTCGACGACGTCCACGCCGTCGAAATCTCCGCCCGCGCTCTTCAGCGTCGCCTTAATCTCACCCAAGAGCTTGGCCGCCTTGCTCAGCTCGCTCGAATCCGAAAACGAGCCATCCTCTTCTACGCGGCACTCTCGAAGCTTACTCGTCAGCTTCAACACCTTGACGATACCTCTCAAGGTTTCTCCCGTCGACGTCAATCGTTCCAACGTGCGCGTCGCCGCCTCGATCGCGCGGTGCGGTTCTCCGAGTTGGGTCGCCACTCTTCGCACGGCGTCCGCGACGGCGCTCGAGCCGTCGCGAATGGTCTCCATCGTCACCTCCGCCTCGCGCATCCCACTCAGGGCTCGATCGAGCGTCTCACGCTTGGCGATCACCTCTTCTCGAATCAATCCCTCCATCGTGCGCGTCCCTTCCGCGAGCGCGGCGACTTCGTCCAAAGCGGTTTGAGACGATCCGCTCGTCAATTCCACCGAACCGCGTCGCGATCGCGCGATCGCCTCCCGCGCGTACCGCACCGCGTCGAACGCCTCTTCGTCCGCCGCGCCGGACGCGATCGACGCCCCATCGTTCGCGCTCGACGTCGTCGAGTCGCCCTCGAACCATCGTCGCACCGCGCTCGCGGTGCCACCGTCCTCGTCGCTCGCTCGGTGACGCCCGCGGTCGAGCGAGCGCGACGCCCGTCCGGTGCAAAAGGGCTCTAGGAAGGGTTTGGATTCGATCACGCGCCTGAGCGGGTCGATCATGCGCGCGAGCGCGAGCGGGGGCGAGAACGCGCGCGCGGGCGAGTGCGGTGCGCCGCGCGGAGACGTTCGAGCGCGCGCGCGCGCGAGGCATTCGAAAGCGCACGCGCGCGCTGCCTAGACTACGATCGCATGAAAACAAATGAATGCCACTAACTAATCGACCGCTCGAACGGTCCTCACGCGTCCTTTTTCTCGCCGCGTTCCGAACTCTCTCTCTCTCGCGCGGGACCCGCCGGCGGCGGCCCAAAGCCGCTCGGGTTGGACGACGGCATCCCGCGCTTGGAGAATCCCGCCGACGCGAACGCGCGCTCGGTAAACCCCACCGCTCTTTTCACCACGAACTCCTCCGTCTTCATCGCCGCCCAGCACGTCTTTCGCATGAATTTCTCCGCGTACCGCCTCGACGTCGCCTCGACGTTCGTCCCGTACGCGAACCGCGTGAGTCGCAAGCCTCTTCGGTAGAGTCGTTTCACCCCGAACGCGCGCACGGCGAGCATGACCGCCAGCTTCTTCGCGATCCACAGTTTGACCAGGAGCAACGGCGGCATGAATGCCGCGACACCGCGCGATCGTTCGTGCACGCCTTCGTCGCGTCGACGCGTCGATGCCGATGGGCGTCGACCGCGCGCGTGCACGAGCGAGACCACGGACGAGGCCTCGCGCGCGCGCTCGACGTCGACGCGCCCTCGACGCCGCACTCCGCGCTCGCGCGCGCGGGGGCGAGGGCGAGGCGCGCGGTGGCGTCGATGCGCGCGTCGACGTGGACCTCGACGTGCACGGATGGACGTGACGTGAGACCACGACGCGGGCGACGAGGGGGGACGTCGAACGCGCGAGCGATAGCGCGAGGTGGAGGACATGGTGAACGTCGCGCGCGCGCGCGAGACGGGGGCGTGGAGGAGGCGACGCGGTGGAGGTGGACGTGGTGGACGGCGGCGCGCGCGGGGCGCGGCGTCGACGCGCGCGGCGCTGGGTCGACGAGACGCGCTGCGAGGGACGACGACGACGATCGCGACGATGACGACGGTGCGCGTGACCGAACCCGCGCGCGCGGCGGATCGACCGGCGCTGTGCGGATACTTTGATGAGTTTAGCGGCGGCTTGGCGCCGAGGTACGCGTTCGACACGCCGTGGAACGAGGGGTTCGTCGACGCGAGCGCGGTGTTCGTGCGAGGGGTGGGGATTATAAAAAGGCGAAAAAGGCGAAAAAGGCACCGGTGTTAGCCGTCACGAACGGTCCCGGGATCGCGCACGGGTACATGAGCGCCCTGGAGACGCTGAGCGGCGAGGCTGGCGGCGCTCGAGAGGTGTTCTTTTACGACCAGCGCGGGAGCGGGAAGAGCAAGGGCGCGTCGTCGTACGATTTGGCGCTCTACCTCGACGAACTGCGAACGGTCGCTCGTGAGTTACGTTTGGTGGAAGAGGGCGGCGCGCACGTTCTCGCGCACGGATATTGGGGCGCGCGCCTGGCGACGACGCTCGCGGCGGAAGTGCCCGGATTCGCTCGATCCGTCACCTTGGTGGCGCCGACGGCGACGAGGAGACGAGAGGTGGCGGACTGGCGACGTGCGCTGGAGGATATATCCAAAGAATCGCGCGACGCGATTTTAGATTACGAAGAAGATCTGGATCCGTCCAAACGCGCGATGAACGATCGAGGTTTGCGGGAGTTTAGCGAGCGGTTTGTCAGCATCCGCGGCGACCGCGGCGCGTGTTTCAACGATGTTCTCGCCCCGAGATCGAGTGATGCTCCGCGAAACGCGATCACGGGTGGTAAATATTTCAGCGTCGCCGGGTCGCTCGCGAACGACGTCATCGATCTCCGAGGTCTGGGCGAAAAGCTAGGGAAGAACGGCGTGCGGGCCGTGCGCGTCATCAGAGGCGAGCGAGACGCCGTGACGCAATCGAGCGCGCGCGAGATCGTGGACGCCATCAACGCCGAATCGAGCCAAGGTGCACCGTTTTGCGCGTACGACGAGATCGAGAACGCCGGAAGCTGCGCGTTCTTGGATCGCGGCGATTACTTTTTCGAGACTCTAAACATATGCGTGGAAAAGGCTGATGACTAGTCGACGACGGTCGCGGTTGACCTCACTGTCGGCGGTGCGGCATTTCAGCGCATCAGCTGCATGGGCGAGCGCGGTGCATCCGATGATTTGGATAGCGCGAACGAGTGCGCTGACGCCCATCGGCGGATCGCAAAGCGTCGAGCGAGACACACTCGCGCACTAGCGAGAGCTCTCGGAGACGCTTCGACGCATCTAAAAGCGTCTCGAGAAGACGTCGACGACGAGGATGACGTCGACGATGAGGACGAAGACCCGAGAGAGACCGTCGCCAGAGTCGCTCGAGAGGCAGCGGAGACGCTCCGGCGCGAGAGGAACGTTTTCGTCGACATTGAACGCGACGCCGCGGAGACTTTTTTTTTAGAATTCAGCTCCGAGTCTGCAGTCGAGCCGAACACTGATTCTTTGCGCACCATGACGCGCATCGCGCGCGAGCGCGAGGCCTCGAGACAGGAGAGTGTGAGAGAGACGAGGTATAGATTTCGGCGCGACATGATCGACGACGCGGAGGCGAGCGGCGAGACGAACGACGAACTCGTCGAGGCGTGGAACAATCTGTTGAGAGAAAACGCGGAGAGGACGTGCAAGGAAGGAGACGGTGATCGCGTCGATTGCATGGAGCTCGACGCGCGATTCCGCGCGCAATTGAGTGCGTGTAAACGAGCGCTCGAGCCCAAGGAGTCGCTTGTTCTCAGATTGAGGGCTCACACGGTGGCCAACGTGGACGCTTCGTTTGACGACGCGCTCGTCGAGTGCAGACGTGAGCTCGCGCACGCGGCGACGCTCGCAGCGCACGCGCGCACGCGTCGTGAAACGGCGTTTCAGTCGTTATTGACGGGCGCGCGCGCCTCCTTTGACGAGACGTTGCGTCGACGAGACGAGTTGCGTTCGCGCGCGCTCGAGCAGACGGATGCGCTCATCGAGGCTGAGCGACGCTCGAGAGAAGAGGATGCGTGCCGCGAGGCGAACGCGAGACGCGCGTCGCTGATGTCCACCGCGGTAGAAAACGCGCGCGAAATGCGTCGTCTTCGAGACCGTCTGGATCATCGCGTCGAGGACACATCCGCGCGCCTGCACGACGCGCTCGCTCGAGCGCCGCTCCGTTCGGCGAGGTTGAAGGACGCGTTGCGTCGCAGACGAGGCGGTGAGGCGCAGAGACGCGCTCGAGAGCGCTTGGCCACGCGCGTGATGAAGAATCTTCGCGTCGAGCTCCACCGGGTCAAGCGCGAGTACGCCGAGCGAGAAAAGTCGGAGGCCGCGCTCGGCGCCGCGTCCGTGCGCTCGGCGAACCAGTCTCTCGAACGACTCAACGCCGCTCGATCTCGGCCGATCGGAACCGACAAGACGGCGGCGATCCGCGCTATGAAACACGCGCGCATCGCGCAGCTCCAGCGCGAGCTCGACGCCGCGGAGCGTGAGATTTGGCGAACCGCGCTCGGAAGCGTTCCGCCGAAGACCTTTCCGAGCAGTCTCCGGCGACGCGCCGAGGCGTACGAACGCCTCGAGCGGGCGATGCGTCGACGTGATTAGCGCGCTCGATGTCAATCATGCATCGCATCACCCACGCGCGCGGCATCGTCCTCGCACGCGCGCGGCATCGCGGTATTCCGAAGCGACCGTTCGACGCGCCGCGCGACGCGGCCAGGGACCCTCGGGACGAATGTCCTCGTTCCCCACCGACCGACGCGTCGACATCCCGCACACCGACGCGCGCGTCGTCGTCGCCCCACGCGCGCGCGCACCGACGTTCGCGATGTCACCGACGATACCGATGCGCTGCGTCTCCGCGGTCGCCCACGCGCGAGGCACCGCGCCCGTTCGCGCGCGACGCGGTGAAACATTCGACGGACGCGTTCGAGGACGAATGACGACGACGCGCGCTCGAGACGATCGATGCGCGATGCGCGTGGGGGCGGGGCGATGCGCGGAAGCGTCGTCGATGGCGCGCGCGTCGGTCGAGGCGAAGGAGGCGTGGAGACGACGACGCGAGACGACGGATGGGCGACGCCGAGCGATCGTCGCCGGCGCATCCGCCGCCGCGGACGGAGGCGAGTCGGTGGCGATCGTGAACACGGTCAAGGCCATCTTCGGTGCCGGTGGGTTCGCGCTTCCGTGGGCGTTCGCTCAAGGTGGCATCGCCCTGGTCGGATCGTGCATGTTCGCCTCCCTCGTCTTGGCGCTGGAATCGCTTCGCATGTTGGTCAAGTCGCAGGACGTCTTGGTCGCCGCGGGAGACGCCTCCGCGGCTGAGGTCGCCACGTACGCCGGACTCACTAAGACGGCGTTTGGTCCCATCGGTGACGTCGCGTGTCGAGTGATGAACGTCTTGACGTGCTTCGGGATCACCGTGAGCTATCTCGTGTTCATCGCGAAGACGCTTCAGGTGTTGATGCCGGCGTTGGGGGTGAGCGCGTTCGGCGTCGCGCCCACCTTGGTCTCCATGCTCAACGTCGTCGGGCCGTTCATGATCGCGCTCGGATGTATCCGTGAGATGAGCGGCGTGGCCACGATCTCCGCCGTCGGTACCGCGTCGGTGGCGATTGGGATGATCATGACGGCCACCGCCGCGCTCTCCAATCCGCTTCAGCTCGGAGCGCTCCCGTTGGCCAACTTTGCCGCCTTTCCGGGCTTCTTTGGCACCGTCGCCTTCTTATTCTTCATCCACTTCACTCTTTTCGGAATCAAGGAAGCGATGCCGCAGCCCGATAAGTTCTTTGGCGCCGCGGTGAAGGCGTTTACGGGCGCAGCCGTCTTCGCCGCGGCGTTCGGCGTCGCCGGCGCAGCCGGGTACGGTCCAGCCGTCTCCGACGTCGTGGTCACCATGCTCACCGGTTGGAGCGGTGTTTTCGTGCAGCTTTTGTTGTGCCTTAACCTCCTCGCCACGTACCCGATCATGGCGCAGTCCGCTCTACGAATCTGCGAGAACGTGTTCGAGGGCGATAAGCCGGGCTCCATCTCGACGCCCGCCTCCATCGGCGTGCGCACCGCGTTCACCGCGGGCGCCATCTGGACCGCGGGCAACGTCCCTAACTTTGGCGTCGTTCTCGGCTACGTCGGGGGCGTATGCTGCTCCATCCTCTCCCTCGTTTTACCCGCCATGATCTTGTACCAATCGCAAAACAAGGTGAAGAATACCATGACGGCGAACGAGCTCGCGCGCATAGGCGGCGTCTTCGCCACCGGTCTCACGTGCATCGTGCTCTCGATCGTGCTGTGATGCGGGCATTCAAGTGACGCGATTCTTCGATGAGTCGATGAGTCGCGATTAGTTTTTCGTGCTGTGTAAAGGAACATGAGGGAAAGAAGAAAAATGACCGACGCGCGTCCGACGACGAGGATGTTTCTCATTCCAAATAGCACCGTGTGCTCGTCGGGCGATTTTCTACTCGCGGTTCGCGGTCTACTCGTTCATTTGCATCTCCGTCCCCGCGCTCACATCGGTAGTCGCGGTGCCAGCGCCTTCACCCGCGTGCGAATACTTGCACGCGTCGCCGGCTCGACAGCTTCCGCGTTGGAAGAAGATGCACTGAATGCCCGAGGTGTCCACGTCGGGCACCTCGGCGCCGTCCGTTCCGTCTCGCGACCAGGTCCTATTCTTCCCTCGTCCGCCGCCGCCGAACGGTGGCATCGTCATGGCACCCATCCCTCCTCCACCGCCGTACGCCGCCATCATTCGCGGATCCACCATGACCATCTGTCCGCCCGCGGCGCCGTACGGCGAAAACCTCGCCCCGGGCATGAATGGATACGGCATCTGCATCCCGTGCATCGCCCCGTTTCCGTACCCTCGGCCGCCGCCCTGCCGTCTATTACGGTTCGGTCCACCGCTCGCGTCGCCCTCCATGCTCGAACCCGCGGTCGCCGCCTTGAGAGAGTCGAGACACACGCCGCACAACGGAGGGTTCCCCCCGACGACGGGTCGAAAATTCACGACGGTGCTCACGCGACATCCCTCGCACTGCCCACTGTGCGCCGGGCGTCCGCTCACCTCATCGATCGTTCCCGTGGGGTACCATCCCGGTCGCGTCGGCGCCCGCTCGCGCCGTCGTTCGTTCGGTCCACCGTTCCCGCCCTCGCGTCGGCGTCCGTCCCGTCCCCCGCGTCCGCCCCGTCCTCCGCGTCCGCCCGATCGATCCCGCTTGTTCCCGTGGTTCACCGGCCCGTTCGCGTGCTGCGCGTCGTCATCCATCATCGCGTCCTCGCGCGCGTTCACCCGTTCGCCCGCCGCGTGCGCGGCGGCGATCGCGGCGTCCAACGATGCCATGCTTCGGCGTCGCCTCGCTTCAAAAACGCCTCGCTTTGCCTCTCTTCGCGTCGCCCGTCGCCCCGTCGCCCCGTCACGGCGTCGCGGCGGCGCGTTCGCGTTCGCGTTCGCGCGTTCGCGTGCGCGCGTCGCTCGATCGCGCGCCGTCCCGAACGCGAACGCGCCGACGGGGAACGACAGACGGCGGCGGACTAGGGTTTAGGACGCACGTCGACGAGGGTTTAGGATGCGCGCGACGCGTGCCGGTGGTGCCACCGCGAGATGATGGCGATCGCGAACGTGGTGCGTCGACGCGCGCGCGACGTCGTTCGCGGCGTCGGACGCGGGTCGACGGGTGCGGTGATTTTACGCGCGCGCACGGGCGCGATGAGGGGCGGAACGGCGTTGAAGGGGGTGGAGGAGGCGACGGTGATGATGAGGCCGACGGAACGACGGTTCGAGTCGCCGATGTTTGGCGACGCGAGGCGATGGATGACGACGGGCGACGGGCGCGCGAGCGAGGACGGGGGGTCGGTGGACGCGTGCGAGGGGTCGATGGAACTTCTCGCGGAGGAGATGGATTTGGAGCGGTGCGATGGGGACGCGAACGCGAATCCGGCGCACTTGGAGGTGGAGGCGGCGCGATTGCGACGCGTCGCCGAGGATCTCGAGAGCGACGCCGAGGCGCTCGACGCGCGATCGTTTCGTCGAATGCGACAACGGGCGCGGGAACTCGTCCGGCGGGCGCACGAGAGACGAGACCAAGCGGATGAGTTGATCGCGCGCGCGCGGTTACTCCGAGAAACGCCGAGATTACGAACGAACACGACGAGCGAACGACGATGATGCCATTTTCCACGATACGAATGCATGTGCGTTTACACGACGGTACGCTTTCGCACGAAAACCACGGAGACTCTACCTCGGGGATTTCGCTCGACGCGCGCGCCCGGATTTAATCCCAACGCGCGCGCGTTCGCCGTCTCCTCCGTGACGACGTCGGCGTCCGTCTCTCGAATGCCGTGACGCAGTCTGTACGCCGTGCCCTTGTACGTCAACACGCTTCTCGGTTCGAGCAAGACGCTCGCGATCGGTCGTCCCGTGATCTCGCCCTCGGAAGGCCAAAATTCGATGAGCGCCGTCCCGCGAAGCGTGAGGATCGACACGTCCTCGGCGTACACCGCCCCGTCCGAGTGCGGCGTGATCCCACCTCGTGATTCGTACTCGTTCACCAAGACGTGATTTGGCTCCGCATCGGACGTTTTCCGGTTCACCATCGCTCGCATGAGCGCTCTCAAATACGCTGGAAAATGTTTCAAATCCTCCTCGCCTCGAAACAGTTGAGACGGCGCGTTCCCTCCCGCGTTCATCACTCGTCTCGCGTTCGACCACGACGTCCACCACGACGACGGCGACGCGAGCAACGCGCGCTCGAGTTCGTCCGCGTCTCTTTCACCCAGCCACTCCCGTTCGTACGACAATCCATCGACGGTGGCGATGGGAATGGATTTTTCTGACGCGACGCCACATCCATCGTCGTCCAACGTCGTGTCGACGAATCCGTCGGGGAAAAAGCGGTCGTGTCGTTCACTCGTCGACGTCACCTCACTCTCGCGCGTTTTCGCCGCGCGAACGAGCGCGCGAACGTCGATGGAAGGCGCCATGCGTCGTGATGTGACGCACGCGCGACGCGCGTCCCTCCGAAGACGAAGCGTGGAATGGTCTGGAATTCAGGACCTCTGGATTACAATGACGGTTTATTTCGACTTGTCCATCTAAAATAGTCGGTAGTGTCGGCACACGCGAAGCAAGAGCCCCAAGAGCACGAGCGTCGCGATGGTGCCCACGATAACGACGACGAGAAACATGTCGTGCCGATTCTCAATGTTATTCTTGATGTTCATGCCGAAGATGCCGACGACGACGGAGAAGCACGTCAAGCACAGCGTCGCGGTCGTCAGGATGAGCTCTAGTTGAATCAGACGGTTACGTTGAGAGTCGAGTTCGATCTCGATCAAGTCCTCCAAGTCATCGATGTACTCGTTCAACCCGTTGAGCGAGCGGTGCGTTGAATCAATGTGCGTGAAGTACGTCTCGAGCAAATCTTCGAGCTCTTGCAGATCCTTGTCGTCGTCAAAGTGATCAAAATACGGGTGCACCCCTTCGGCCGTGGTGGGGATGCCCAACGGGGAACGGGGAACGGGACCGCCGCCGCTTGACATGCTCAACGCGTGCTCGAGCGGCGGTCGCCCGCCGGTCGATCTTTGTTGCGTCGACGCGTTCCCGGTTGGTGTGTCCGTCGACTCCTCCCGCGTGAGCGTCTCCTGCTCCTGCTTCGCCTTACGAGTGAGATACATATCACGCATGTCCGAGTCATCGTCCAGGTAACGCTGAATCTCTTCTCTCACCTTGCTCACGCGACCGCTCACTCGAACCAGTCTCGTCTTCATCCTTCTCACGCGCTCGAGATTGACGTTGTCAACGCGCTTGCGGAGAGCCTCGAGCGCGGGCTTGGAGTCGAGTTCGACTTTGTTCGCTTCGACCTCGAGTGAGTTGCACACCATCTCCAGGGCGACTTCGAGAGCGATGAATTCAAACGGAAATTCCTCCGCCGCCGTCGCCTGCGAGATGGACTTTTCCGGAGACGTCTTCGCCGACGACGTCGTTTGATGCGTCGTCTTACCCTCCATCATGGAAGATAAGTCCGCAGCCGATAAATTTAGCGGTATGCTCTGCGACTTTGGCATCCTCTCTCGAAGTCTCTTTCGTCGCAGGAGCCGTGCCGTGAGCTCGGGCAAAAAGTGCGTCACCGTGCTCGTCTGTGAATCCGTCATGATCACCTCCTCGTGCGTGATCAAAATCTTCACCTGTTCCAGGTTCACCACGATCGCACGCTCACGACAGAGCATCGCCGCGGAGTAGGAGTCCGCCGTGGTCGGTTCGAGCACGCGTAAATCCCGCAACGGCACGCGGAGCAGCGTCGCGATTTTCGTCTTCTCCATGCTCAGCTTGTTCACGTTCCCTTGCGCGTTGATTCGCACCCACCCCACCTTGGCGCGCCCCGTCGTCGCCGCCGGCTTCACGGGTTCGAGCTCATCTCCCGGAGGTTTGTCGTAATTACCCACCCCCGTCGCCGGTTTCCCCACCACGACTTGTTCCAAATCCGCCTCTCCGTTCGCGCCTCGCACATCCTCCAACCCCGCGATCGACGCCGCCGGCGTGTGCGTCGCCGTGGACGACTCGTATCCGGTGAACCCGAGCAAATCTCTCACCGCGCTCGCGCCCGCGTCCAGCTCGACGCGCTCGTTCGCCGCTCGCCGCGCGCTCGGTTCGTTCTCGCGCGCGGCGCTCCTTCGTTCCGCGTCATCGTCGATCCCGTGCGGTGACACCCCCGACGCGCGCTGTTGTCGCAGCATCGCTTCGTACTGCCTCGGCGCGAGCGGTGGGATCGGGGGCGTGGACGACCGCGAGGGCACGGCGCCGCGAGTGAAATCATCCAAAATCGCGTTCGAGAGGTGTTCATGTTCGCTCGGTCTCGACGACGTCGACGCGCGCGTCGCGCGCTCTGCGCCCTCGCGCGGTCCACCGTCCTCGGCGTCCGCGTCCGGCATCGCGCGCGGGGCGCTCGAACGACGGGCGCGCGCGACGCACTCTGCGGGGCGTTTTGAATTCTGGTACGGAGGCGACGGGCGAGACGCGACGCGAATCCTCCGCGCGCGAGCGGTACACACCGGTACAATTACACGAACGAAGGATGTCTAGTAGCGATCAATTCGGGGTCCACGATTGGTACTTTTTCCAATCCCGCGATGGCCCGCCGTCGCGGTGGAAGTGTCCCTTTGGCAGGTACGTCCCCGCGTCGCTTTGTCCCCGAATGAACGTCGGGACGGGGTCTTCGTACATCGGCTCCATCGCGTTCGGCAACCCCGGCTCGTCGTTCACGTAGTGCAACCACCCGTGCCACTCCCTGGGCACGTTCGCCGGGGAGTAATCGTTCGGGTTCGCGTACGCCACCCATCGCGACCGCCCTTGCTGGGCCTCGACGTCTTCGTAATACGCGTTCCCGTGGACATCCGTGCCCACGAGGACGCCCCGACGCCGTTCGAGGTGGAACACGCTGCCGTCTAAAATCTTCGTCATCGTCGACGCCGCGCGATCGCTCGCGCGTCGCGCGCGCGCCGCCGGAGCGACCGCGTCGAAAACCCGCGCCGCGCGACGCCAGCGCGCGATCATGCCTTCGGGGCGACCGCGTCGACGCGCGCGACGGCGGACGCGTCGGACGATGCGATCGAGCGAATTTCTCCCCGGCACCGTGCGCGCGCGCGGACGACGGGCGCGGACGGCGGCGTCGCGGGCGCCGCGATGTGTCATTCAATCGCGAATCCAGCGCGCGCGAGGAAACCGCGCGGGAGATCGCGACGCGCGACGTCGGTGACGCGCGCGGGTCGATCGTCGCGCGCCAGATGACGGATCGGCGCGTCGACGACGCGGTGGTGGCGTCGACGACGGCGCGGACGCTGCTCGCGAGCGTGGACGAGGCGCGCGCGCTGATCGTCAATCTGCGTGGACGCGCGCGAGTGAATCCGCTTCGAGGGGCGTCGAGCGCGACGCGACGGGCGCACGCGAGGGCGGAGACGCTGGTGAAGCGATGCGCGGCGATGGGTGATTTTGAGGCGGCGCGAACGTTGGGGGGATATTTGGTCGAGCGGTTCGGGGAGGACTCGGCGCGCGCGCGGGCGGCGCGCGCGGCGGCGGAACGCGCGGCGGGCGAGACGGAAAAGGCGGAAAAGATGATCGAGGAGGGGCTGGAGCGATCGCCGTACGATCAGCGATTGATGCGATCGCGCGTGGCGTGCGCGCTCGATCGCGGAGACGAGCGCGAGGCGATCGAGCGCCTGTGCGAGTACCTGGAGACGCACGGCGCGGATGAGGAGGCGTGGAGCGCGCTCGGAAAGTTGTACGCCGGGCGAGGGGAGTACGATAAGGCTTTATTTTGCTACGAAGAGGTCGTGTGCGCGATGCCGTTCGATGCGAACGCGCACAGAAAGATGGCTGAGGTGTTGTACACGGCGGGAGGACGCGAGAACGTGCGGGACGCGAAGAACCACTTTGCGTTGGCCATCGACTTCACGAGCGGTAAAGACGTGCGCGCGATGTACGGTGCGATTTTGTGCGCGAAGCGACTGCGTGAGACGGAAACCGATGACACCGATGGGGTCGTTCCCAAAGGTGAGGGTGCGGCGCTCGCAGATGCCGCGGCAGAACGATTGTTACAGCGGTACGCGATGGAGAATGAATCAATGTTGCGCGTCGTACGACCGCAAATCAAACGTCTCGTCGCGCCATCAGAGGGATAGATAGTTCATAGCAGAGAGAGTGTGACGAAATAATCTCGTTGCGTTACAGCTTGGCGTGCGATCGATTTGCACAAAGAATTACTTTCTGCTCACGTGTTCTTCTCGAGAACTTCCAGCGCCGGCGTGAGGTAGTTCGCGCCCGCTCTTGATTTGACCGAAGTGATGAGCTCGTATTCGGCTTGTTCGCTCTCGTACTCGTACCCGACATCGAACGATCTGTTACGAGCTTGTTCGTCGTGCATCGCCCGAACGCACACGTCGGCAACGTCGGCGCAGGAGATCGGGGTGTTGATGCGCTCAGTTTGGTCAAAGATGAGCGCCTTGGCGCCGCCCGCCTCCTCCACGAGCTCGCCCGGGCGAACGATGGTGTAACCGACGCCCGAGTTGCGGAGCACCCGTTCACCATCACGCTTCGCCTTGAGGATGCGATCCTTCTCGTCACCGTCCTCCAGACCCGCGCCGAAGCAAGAAACCAAAATGACATCCGGCTCCTCGCCCTTGGGAATCGCCTTGACGTACTCGAGCGTCAAGTCGAACCTGTTATTGCTGCCGCTCATCACGTCGCTCATCGAGACGTCGCGCTGGTTCTTGCGCGCGTCGAAACGCAGACCGATTCGAGAGATTCGTCGGAGATCGAGAATATCATCACCGTCTTCGCCGTACGTCGTTTCCCCTTCGTTGACAAACTTGTGGAACGGCATGCGAATGACTTGCCAGCCACCCGTGGTGTTGAAGGAGAATCGGAATTTGGAGCCGTCATCTTGGGTCAAGACGACGCTGTATCGCTTACCGTCGCCCTTGAGGCGGAATAACAACCCCTCCTTGGTGGCGTAATCGACTTCGGCTTGCAAATCCTCCACGTCCGCGCTCGCCTCAGCCTTACCCGTGCGCGCGACGACGAACCCGTTAAAGGTGGCAAACTCGAACGGCTTGTCCTCGTCTTCGGGGTAAAGCGGATCGAAGTTCACGCGTTGCATCTCCGCAGCGGCGGCCCATCGACTGTCGGACTCGTTACCGACGTCCATTTCGTCCACTTGCCACGCCTCGTACGCCGTCGGGTGCTTGAACGCGGTGAGCATCACCTTTGACTTGGGGCTTCGTCCCTCGCGTCGCGCGGCGAGCATGTGATAGTAGTCTTGCATGCAAGACACCACGTTCTTCACCCCTTGGGTCTCCACGTTGAACAAATCGCTCGTGATGGAAGAATTCGCGCTGGCGCAGTAGATCACCTTGGTCACTCCCACCATGGCCTTTTTAATCGCGTCCTTGTCGCCGACGTCTCCGACGACGACCCGCACCGCCGTCGGCAACTTCTCGACATCTTCCTCCTTTCTCACCAGCGCCTTCACCGTGTACCCCCGCAGAAGAAGCTTACGAATGAGCACTCGACCGATTCGTCCCGTCGCTCCCGTGACCATCACCGTGGTGAACTTCGCGTTCGGCGTCTCGAACTCTCCGACGACGCTCCCGCTCAGGAGTTCCGCGCCGTACACCTCGTCCAACCCCTCTCCATCCGCCGTCCTCGTCGTCTTCTGCACCGAGGTCAACCGCGTAAACTGTTTAAACACGTTATCGAACGCCGCGCGCGACTTCCGTCCCAAGTTTACCGGGTTCACGTCCTCCAGACTCGTCGGCGTCGGCGTCTTCCCTCGCCCCCGTCGTTGCTTTCGCGCGCGCATGGCGTCCACCATTTCCTTCGTCAGCGCCGCGTCCTCCCTCGTCGACGTGTCGTCATCACCACCGTCCTCGTCCTCTCGCGCGCTCGCTCGCGCGCGCGTCGGTCGCGTCGTCGTCGTCGTCGTCGTCGTCGACGGTCGCGTCCTTCGCGCCGTCGCCGCTTTATCCACGCGCGATCGCGTCGTTCGCGCCGTCGCGCGCGTCGAGGCGACGACCACGGAGGCGCGAACGTCGCATCGCGCGAGCGGCATCGTGCGCTCGAGCGCGCGCGTGTGCGGGCGACGCGTTCGTCGACGACGGCGGCGGTGATGGGGACGTCGACGTCACGATGTGTATTTCATGGGTCACGACTCGTAGAGAGGGACTCGTGGTGCGCACGCGACGGACGCGACGGACGCGACGGACGCGACGGACGCCACGGACGTCCACGCACTCGAGCGCGCTGCGATGCGTCGTCGGCGTCACACGCGTCGGCGTGACGCCGTCGCGACGCGCGCGCGTCGACCGCTCAGCGCGTCGCCAAGACGCCGCATCGATAATCCTCCACGACGTCGAACGCCCGACTCGGGTGCTGCGGCCCCTTGAACCCTTTCGTCGCGTCCCCGCCCGCGTTCTTCAAGATCGCCTCCACCCCACCGGGGTGTTCGTGCACGTACTCGGTGAGATCGTACACGACGTCGTCGATGATGACCCAGACGTCGTCCGCGTCGGCGTGTCGCGCGACGTCCTCGCGCGTCCACGTCGCCCGCGGGTCCAGCGTCCGCGTCGTCGGCGTCGTCGGCGACGTTCGCCTCGCGCGGAGGAACCACCGACACGTGATCGCGACGAGGACGAGGACGAGGGCGACCGCGAGACGCATCGCGCGCCGGGCCGTCCGTCCCGCGCGCGATGATTCAACCCTCGGCGCGCGACCTACACCCCGCGCTCGACCGCGGCGTCGTCACCGCGCGCGCGCGGCGCTCGAGCGCGTTCGTCGCGCGCGCGTCCGCGCCGCCGTCGCGGTCGAGCGCCGCGCGCGGGCGTCGCGAAGTCGCGGTGAATGAATCATTCAGAATGATGATGCGCGATGGGCCCAAAGCGTCGCCGCGCTTCACACCTCGCGACGCGCCGCGCGACGCGAGCGCGCGCGATGGCGGACGACGACGTCGTCGTCGCGCTCGCGCTCGCGCTCGCCATGGGCGATCCCAGGGCGGTGGTGCGTCGCGTCGAGGCGAATGTGATGGATGTCGGGCGAGACGATCGCGACGCCGTTCGCGCGCGCGCGGGACGCGACGACGAAGGCGACGACGACGGGGACGACGACGATAGCGACGGCGACGGCGACGGCGACGCGCGGGCGCGCGCGCGCGCGCAGGCGTCGTTGGCGATGATTCTGCGCGCGTCGGCGAAACTGTCGCCGGCGTACGCGGCGCGGTGCGCGCGACGCGCGATCGAGCGCGCGTCCGTCGTCGGTGGGTGCGTTCGCGATGACATCGCGGCGTACGCCGTGGGATGGTCGGGGAAGACGTGGGAGACGGTGGACGCGGCGGTGGACGCGGACGCGGATGGATTCGGATTCGCGCGGAGCGAACGCGACGGGTGGCGAAATCGCGCGTACCTGTACGCACCGGTGCGAGGAAGCGCGCGCGCGCGCGCGATTGAGAACAGAGAGGGTAACGCTTTGACGTCGCTGGGAACGCGGGCGTGCGATGCGATTTTCGCGAGGACGCAGAGCGACGCGCTCGCGGGATCGACGGGGGCGTTCGCGTGGCCGGCGGGACTCGTCGCGTGTGAACTCATCGCGTCAAAGATCGGTGACGAATTGGTTCGAAATCGACGCGTCGTCGAGCTCGGAAGTGGGACCGGGGTGACGGCGACCGTGCTCGCTCGCGCGTCGCCGAAAGCGCTGACGCTCACCGATCGAGACGCGACGACGCTAGAGAATTTGGCGGCAAATCTTCGTTTGAACGCCGCGATCGATCGAGGCGCGAACAACGTCACCGTCGCTGCCATGGACGTCACGTTCGACGCGCTCGATGCGCCCGCGTCGATGCGCGCTGGAACGTGTTCGGTTCGCGAGTTGGATTGGGAGCGCGCTTCGACGTCCTCCATGTTCGCCCTTGACGCCGAGTTCGTGCTCGCTGCCGATTGCTCGTACGATCCGACGCTCATTCCAGGTTTAGTTCGAGCCCTGCGAGCGCTCTTAAAGGTACCGAGCTCCGATGCGTCCGCGCAGCCGACCAAGTTGATGACGCTCGACGCGGCCGCCGCCGAGGCGCGTCTATCCGGAGCGTGCGCGAAAACGCCGTGCGCTCTCATCCTGAGCGCGGTGCGTCAAGAGACCACGATGGACGTCCTTATCGATGCTCTGGAACGAGCTCGGTTACATCCGGTGGACGTCACGAGCGTGCTAGACGCGAAACACCTTTCCAAATTTCTCTTTCGACCGGGATGGGCGCACGCGCGAGACGAGTTCCGCGCCTTCGCGTGCACCCCCGTCGAGCAGTCGTGAGTATTGTTTTCATAGTGCGTGTTATTGATCCCTAGGTAGTCTTAGCGACATCATCGCACGCTTCGACGACGATGTGCGCGCGTCGCGTTCGCGACGCGCTCCTGCGCTCGAGCCGCACTCCATGTCGCTCGAACTCCTCGATGAAGACACCCCTCGCGTCCGCTCGTACGTTCAATACGATGAACACGGTCGCGCGCGCTTAGACGCCGAGATCGAGAGTCGAGCGCGCGGACACCGCGCCGATTTGACCGCAACGAAGCGCGAGAAGAAACATAAACCGTTGCGAGTCATTCTTGACATCGACTCCGTGCGCGGTCTATCCACGTCGAAGAAGCGAGCGACGGTGTCGTGCGCGCTCGCGCCTGGTCCGCGAGCACGCGCGAGCGAGCACGGATTCGCCTCGCACGAATGCGCGCCGGTACAGTACGCGTACGAGAGGCAACGGCAACAGGCGACGACGAGCGGACGAGCGTCGTTGCGAGACGAGACGGACATCAAGGCGACGTTTTCTTTCTACGTCACGCAGGCGTCGGTGGACGACGTGATTACGATTGAGGTTCGAGAGGGATTGGAGAGTCCGAGGGGTAAGCTCGGGAACGCGAAGGCGACGTGTGAGATTCCCGTGCGCGCGCTCACGCCGAATCGAGAGCCACCGGTTTGGACGGCGACGACGGACGTCGCGCGCGTTCCCGAGCGATACGGTGAGTTTAGATACGCCATGTATTTCGATCACGAGCGAGAGGGGGTGTTGCACGTCCTCGTCTCGGGGTCTACTGGGATCAAGGCGAGCGACATGTCCGGGCAGTCCGACCCGTACGTTCGTGCCAAGTTGGTTAGAGTGAACGAATCTGCGGCGGTGAAAAAGGCGTTCGAGCTGGCGGCGTATGATCAAGGGTTAAAACTTCGTGCGGCGAAAAGTTCGCATCAAACGTCGGTGCAAAAGCAGACGCTTGATCCGGTGTGGGACGAAGAGTTTGAGTTCGAGCGCGTAGACAGAAATTCCGAATCGTACGTATTATTCAGACTGTACGACCGCGATCTCGTGGGAGAGGACGACGAGCTCGGTCAATACGCCGTGCGCGTCAGAGATTTAAAAGCGGCGAGATCGACCGACCCCGGCGCGCAGATCAAGACGGTGCAGTGGCGCAACGCATCCCATAACAAGCTTGAATGCGTCGGCAAGTTGAACATTGTGGCGTACTGGGAAGATGCAGAGCGAACTGATTTACGAGTAAACATGAAGCGAGCGGTCGGCCTTCCGTCGTGTGATCCATTTGGCTCGAGCAACTCGTATATCACTGTCGAAATGACGGGCAATTACGAACCAGAGAGGCATCGAACGTCCATTTGCAGGGGAACGACATCTCCAGAGTGGGAACATTGGATGTCATTTCTCTCGACAAGTCGACAGCAGTGTCGGAATCTCAATGAAGAGACGCTCACTTTGCGGGTGTATGTTTTAGATTCAAAGACAGAGAAGTCTAAGTTCTTAGGAAAATCACAACTGCCCTTGCGCAGAGTGCTCACCAAGGCGAAGGGTGGGGCGAAGATGTCCTTTTGGCTACCTCTTGTCGAGGAGAACACAGCCGTCAACGTCGTAGATATACGGCTGAGCGCATATCTAGAGAGCGACAGCCCGGCGAGAAGACCGACCGATCATCCTGTTTCGTTACGCGACCAGAAAAACTATGACGCAACGTACGCACGAGGACTCAGACTCGTTCAGGAACGCGAAAAGAGCATTGCTGCTCGCGAACTCGAAGAAGAGCTTGCCTACTACTCGCAACTCTCGAAGACGATCGAGATACGGCTTCGAGAGTTCAAGTGGCCGGAGTATCTCATACCAGCGTATTCGAAAGCGTACGCCGCGTGTTGCAACAATCCAGAGCTCCTACCGCCGCCTCCAGATGGTATGGAATTGCCCAACGATATTGTTCGCATTTTCACCGCTGCCGCTTTTGCGCGAGTGAAGCGAGAGTCTTCTACGCACCGTTCTTAGTAACTAGGTAGGCGTTGTATCGAGATTGTGTCAGTTGACGACGAATGAATTACAAAAGACTAACTTACTCGCCTCGAGCAGTCTTGAGCGTACGCAAGCGGAGTGCTTGAAGCTTGATGAAGCCCGCGGCATCTTTTTGGTCGTACGCACCGCCGTCGTCTTCGAACGTGGACAGTCTGTCGTTGTAGAGAGAGTTGTCAGCCTTGCGCCCAACGACCATGACGTTACCCTTGTAGAGCTTGGCACGCACCGTACCTGTGACGTTCTGCGAGCACAAGTCAATGGCGCTTTGCATCATTTCGCGCTCCGGGGAGAACCAGAAACCGTTGTAAATGAGCTCAGCGTATCGCGGCATCATTTCATCCTTGTAGTGCATTTCACCGCGGTCAAGGCACACGGTTTCGAGTGCGCGTCGGATTTCGAGCAAAATGGTACCGCCCGGTGTCTCGTACACACCGCGGGACTTCATGCCGACGAAGCGAGACTCGACGATATCCAGACGTCCGATGCCGTTTTCGCCACCAAGTCGGTTGAGCTCGGTGAGCATTTCGGCCGGGGAGTACCGCTTACCGTTGATCGCCACCGGGTCACCCTTTTCAAACTCGACCTCGATGTACGTCGGCGTATCCGGGGCGTTCTCCGGGCTCACCGAGCGCGTGAACATGTCCTCGGAATACTCGACCCACGGATCTTCCAACGCGTTACCTTCGTAAGAGATGTGCAACAAGTTGGCGTCGGTGGAATACGGCGCGTCTTGACGCTTGGACTGCGCAACCGGGATGCCGTTCGCATCCGCGTACGCCAACAACTTCGTGCGCGAGTTCAAATCCCACTCTCTCCACGGCGCGATCACCTTGACGTCCGGCTTGAGGCCGTAGTAACCGAGTTCAAATCGAACCTGGTCGTTACCCTTACCCGTGGCGCCGTGGCACACGGCATCGGCGCCGACCATCTTCGCGATTTCAATCTGTCGCTTGGAGATGAGCGGTCGCGCGATGGACGTCCCGAGCAGGTACTTGCCCTCGTACACGGCGTTCGCACGGAACATCGGGAACACGTAATCCCGGACGAACTCCTCGCGCAAATCATCGATGAAAATTTCCTTCACTCCCATTTGTTGCGCCTTCGCTCGCGCCGGCTCGAGCTCCTCACCCTGCCCTAAGTCCGCCGTGAACGTCACCACCTCGCACCCGTACGTGTCTTGGAGCCACTTCAAGATGATGGAGGTGTCCAAACCGCCGGAGTACGCCAGGACAACCTTCTTCACGTCCCCGGACGGCCCCGCGCGAGCCTTGACGGAGGACCGAGCGGTGTTTCGATGGGTGACGCGGGCGACCGCTTTGGTCGTCTTGGACGCGGTCGAGCGTCGGTGCGCGACGCTCGATCGAGCGGAGCACGAGAGTTTGTTCATGGTGATCATGTGAGCGCGAACGAATCGAGTCGAGGCGCGTCCGTGAGGGCGACGTGTGCGGCGATGGCGCGCACGTCACGCCTCAGGGTTTCACCGCAGGGTCGAGGGTTTTCAAACGCGCGCGCGTCGCTACGATGTCTACGCGCTTTACAGCGTTCTATGTCTAGCTAAATCTTCGTCTTCTCGCTCGGTCGTTTCGACCGTCGACGACGTTCCTTTGATTTCTTATCTTCCGTCGGTGACGCGGCGTCGGGGGCGGTCGATTTGGACTCGGCGGCTTTGTTGGGCGGTTTTCGTCGGCGACTCGAACCGGAGGACTCCGCGCGCGGTGGCGTCGATTCCGTGGTCGCCTCCGTGGAGGTTTTGTGTTTTCGTCGAGCACCTCCTTTACGTTTCTGACTCTTCGAGATCTCGGCCAACGCTTCGGCGGTTTCTTGCGCCTTGATGGCGTCGAGCGCGATTTGCAACTCCTCGTTGGCGCGCTCCTCATCGAGAATTTCTCGGAGACTCTTCGATTTTCCCCGAGGTTCGACGTACCAACGATCGGGGGACGCGCCACGAACGTTAAAACCTGTTGTCGTCGTGAAATTATCGTCTCGTTCGGCCGCCTTTTCGGCCTCCGCAGCGAGGATCTCTCGCATGCTCCTCGGCGAGCCGCTCCTTGAGTCTTCATCCGCGGGAGCTTTCCACGCATTTGTGCCTCGCATTTGTTGCCGTCGTAAGATGTCGCCGAGTGAGAACGTACCAGGGGATGATGGCGACGGCGAAAACACCGTCGGGGCATTACTCGCCGAGGCGATAGACTTTGACGCTGAGGCCGCCGCTCGAGATTGTTGCTCTTGAATTTCCCTTAGCGAAGGCGTACCTCTCGATATCTGCTGTGTAGGCGGTGGAGACGGCGTCTTCGAGTCGCCCTGGAGTTCACCCGACAAGAACATACTTAAAGACCCTTTCACACGAGGCATCGAGCGAGGCGTCGAGCGCGAACCTGATTTCGTTGGTTGCGGTGGCTTCGTCGCGACGATTTGAGATGCGAGCGGCGGAGGTGAGTACACCACTTCCTTTGGCGCCGCTTCGACAATCTGTGCACGATACTTTGGTTTACTCATCGCCGCACGTTCGATATCTTCGACTCGTTCCGTCACGAAGCGCTGCGTCTCAAGCGCACTCTCGCTCCATCCAGAGACGATGTCGTCACGGTGCAAAATGTGCGTGAGCTCTTCCAGCGTCTCGTCATCGAGCTCTTCGAGACACGGTTTCGGCGTCTCTAAAAGCACTACATCGAGGTTTTTCAAGGCATATTCCATCGCGTACCGCTTCAAACCGTCGCTTCCAACCTGATCGGCGAGCTGCGCGACGTCCAAAACATTTCGCGGTTCAATGAATGCGTTTGCCACCGCGTGCTCTGCGAGCGTTTTCAATGATGGAAACGCGCCCATCGGAGCGTCGACCTCATCAGTTTCGTCTTCCTCGCTTGGCCCCTCCTCTTCGTCGTCAACGAAAGGCGAAACCGTCACCGAGCCAATGTCTCGAATGAGACGATCAAAGTCAGATTCAACCGGCGCTTGGCGACTTCGTGGATCCAGTCTCCCGAGGGAAAACTTTGGTAGAGAAATCCGTTGAATCGCGAAGAAGTGTGTTTCCCCGGCGTACGCGCTCGCGATGCCTCGCAGTCCTGGAACGCGCCGAAGTGCGCCGATGCGTCGATTCCCGGCGACGGTCGGCGATGACGAAAACGGCGCCGGCGCCGGCGACAGTCTCGTCTGCGCATCAAACTCAAACTCGTTCGCATCCCAGGTATACGCCTCGCCTGTGTGCGCGACGACGACGGATGAAGTTGCACCGCACGAAACGTCTACGGCGCGCCTGTCCCAACCGAGTGCGTTATTTTCATCGAGAAGTCGCGCCTCGAGACTTTCACCAGCGCTATCCCACACGTACACCCAGCCGTCAACGGTGATCGCGGCACTCTGCATCCCTCCGGCGGAGACTTTTACGACGCGGTGATCGATCGCGTGCCAACTCACGCCGTAATCGGTGGGTTTCGGAAACACCACTCGACGCGAGTTCGTCGAGCCGTTGCCCCAGGAATAGCACGCGTCGCCCGCGACCGAGCACACCACGACATGATGCTTCGAGCACGACACGCACGCCACCGCGACATCGCGATGCTTAAGGTATTCAACCTGCCTAGCGACCGCGGAGTGCGGAGAACCCTCGTCGCAAGCGGTGAAGTATCCGAGCTGCCCGCGATCGTTTGAGCCGAATGTCCACACCGCGCCGTCCGCGTCTAAAATCGCAGTGTGCGCGTCGCCGCACGAAACGTCGCGCGCTCGAGCAGGGCCCATGTTCGGCACCTTACGCGGCGTCCACTGCGTCCAGCGTCGTTGCTCTTGCTCTTCGTCCGTCTCCGAACGAGCGCTTTCTGGCTCGGCCTCGCTCGCGACGAAGTATCCCAACCGACCGAGTCTGGCGCAGCCCCACGTGAAGGCGTCGCCATCGGCGGTGACGCACGCGCTGTGCGACAAACCGGCGGAGACCGCGATGACGCGAATGTTCCTCCCGAGCGCGCGCACGAGCTTCGGAAAGAACACCGCCGCGGCGGAGTTTTGGTCCCGCTCACTGATTTTTCCTAGGCCCAACGCGCCGTCGCGCGAACATCCCCACGCGAACAACCGACCGTCGCAGTCAGCCGCGAGCGCGTGCACTTTGTTCGTCGCCACCGCCCGCACGTCACGACTTCGTAAAGTTTCCACGCGCGCGGGCGCGCGCGCGGTCTCGGTGCTCCCGGTGCCGAGCGCGTTGTTCGCGCCGCTGCCCCACGCGTGCAAGTACCGCCGCGCGTTCGAATCGTCCTCCCGTCGCATCCGTCGATCCCTCGCGAGCTTTTCAGAGATCACATCGATCGGCGCCCGTCCTCTGCGATCGAGCGGTCGCTCGTACTCGCCGTTCGCGCACTCCACGCGCAGCGTCCGCGCGACTTTCAGTTCGCCGTAATGCAACGCGCGATGCATCGCGCTCCACCCCTCCTCGTCCACCCCCGACGCATCGAGCGTCGCGACGAATCCCCGCCGTCCGCTCGCGTTCGCGTTCGCGCTCGACCCTCGCCGGGCGTCCGCGTCTCTCCTCGCGAGCGCGCGCGCGCTCTCCGCGTCTCCGAACCGCGCGAACGCCCGCAGCGCCCGTCCCGACCCGTCGTCGTCCCACGTCTCCACCACCTCGAGCACGTTTCTCGCTCGCACCCGTCCCGTGCGCACGGCCGAGGACGCACCGAGCGCTCGCAGCGCCCGCACGACGCGCCCGTCGTCGTCGTCGTCGTCGTCATCGTCATCGTCATCTTTCGCGCGCGTCGTCGTCATCGTCATCTTTCGCACCGAGTCACCCGCGCGCGCGTTCACGCCGCGCGCGCCCCATCGCGCGCGCGCTCGATCGCGCCCGCGGACCGTCCTCGCCCGGCGTCGGCGTCGGCGTCGGCGTCGGCGGCGGCGGAATCGCGACCGCGCGCGCGATGGGGCCGTGGGCGACCGACCGGCTTCATACACAACGCGTGACTCGCCCATGAAGCACACACGCGGTACGGCGTTCCCGTACACGACGACTTATTCACCCATCACGCGCGCACGAACGCGTCGCTCCCCACGACGATGTCACGCGATGGGCGAATCTCTCGTTGTATACAGTGACGACCCGTTAGAATCCACGCGATGGGCGAATCTCTCGTTGTATACAGTGACGACCCGTTAGAATCCACGCGATGGGCGAATCTCTCGTTGTATACGAAGACGCCCGTCGACGCGCACGCGCTGGGCGACGAATCGCTCGCCAGGTCGACGCGCCGGCGACGACGGCGCGTCGAGCGCGCGCGGCGTCGTCTCGAGCGCGCGCTCGACGTTCGTCGACGCGGCGGTGAGGGACGCGACCGCGCGGGCGAGAGAGAGGCCGAGGGACGGGCCGAGCGCTCGGAGGCTGACACGGATTCAGCGCTCGACGCGGGCGACGCGCGTCGGTGGTGCCGTTTGGGGACGCGCGCGCGCGCGTGCGTCGCGTCGACGTCGTCGACGACGAAGGGCGCGGCGGCGGCGAGACGGAGACGGACGAGTGGCGGCGGCGGCGGACGCGGCGCGCGCGCGGTCATGGCGTCGCATAGGATCTCCGAGGGCGGCGCGCACGCGCCGTCGCTCGATCCGATCGTCGCGCGCGCGTTCGGGGCGTTTGATCACACGTTTACGGTGTGCGATGCGACGAAACCGGACTGTCCGATCGTGTACGCGAGCGATGGGTTCTTGCGAATGACGGGGTACGCCGCCGCCGAGGTCATCGGGTACAACTGTCGATTCTTACAGGGTGAGAAGACGAATAAAAACGACGTGCGAGAGCTGAGAGAGGCGATTAAGAATGGCGATCGTTGGAGCGTGCGGTTGCTGAATTACAAGAAGGATGGGACGCCGTTTTGGAACTATCTCGTGGTTGCGCCCGTGAAGCTCGCGGACGGCACCGTGGTAAAGTACATCGGAGTGCAGACGGACGTGACCGAGGTGAAGGACGCGGACACTGGTGAGCGTGGGATCGAGTTTGACGAGAAAGGTCAACCGGTCCCGAGTCGCTACGACGCGCGCGCGGCGGCGGCGACGCTCGGAAGAGTGAGCGAGGTGGAGCAAGCGGTTCGAACCGCGGAGGGGTTGGGAAATCAGGCGCAAAGGCGTACGGGTATGGATTTGGCGTCAACGCTAGAGCGAATTGAGCAATCGTTCGTCATCACCGACCCGTCGCTCCCGGACCATCCGATCGTGTTCGCGAGCGATGGTTTCATGGAGTTCACGGGGTACTCGGTGGATGAAATCTTGGGGAGAAACTGTCGGTTCTTGCAAGGTCCGAAGACGGACAGAGCGGCGGTGGCGAAGATTCGCGAGGCGATCGAGAATGGGGAGGAGTGTACGGTGCGGTTGTTAAATTATACTAAGACGGGCGAGGAGTTCTGGAACATGTTCACCCTGGCGCCGGTGCGCGACGAGCAAGGCATTGTGCGTTTCTTCGCCGGCGTGCAAGTGGATATCACGGCACACGATCCACAGACGGAACATGAGACCGTGGCAGAGATCACGTTCAAAGAGGAGGATAACGACGCGAACGTGCAGGTTTCGAAGAGTGCCGCGCAACTTGTCGCCGGTGCAGCAGCTAAGGATAAGGAGTTTGAGCCACCGTGGAAGCACATGTCCGGGCACATGCTTCAACCAAAGCCGCACCAGCTCGAGAACCGTCGCCACTGGGAAGCGCTCTGGAGGGTGACGAATTATAACGATAGACCGCTTACGATTGACGATTTCGTCCCCATCCGTCGTATCGGACAGGGAGATGTCGGGACGGTGCACTTGGTCGCGCTCGCAAAGGAAAAAGACGTCAGGTTTGCTCTCAAGATTTTGACAAAGCAAGAAATCATCGATCGGAACAAGCTTCACCGCTTGCAGACGGAATCGACGATTTTGAATCAAATCGATCACCCTTTCGTCGCGACGCTGTTCGCATCGTTTCAAACGTCCACGCACGTGTACTTTTTGATGGAGTACTGCGAGGGCGGCGAGTTGTATGATTTCCTGCAGAAGGCGCCCGGGAAGCGCCTTAGCGAGGAGGCGACGAAGTTTTACGCCGCCGAAGTATTGGTGTCATTGCAGTATCTCCACCTTCTTGGATTCGTGTACAGAGATTTGAAGCCCGAAAACGTGCTCTTGCGAAGGAACGGACACATTATGATCACAGACTTTGATTTGTCGTTTTGCGCTTCGTGCCAGCCGCACATCAAAGTGCGCCCAGGAAACCCCACCTGGTATCCGGGACAACGCGCGACGGCGCACGCGAAAAAGAAGAAGTTGAAACCGCCTCGGTTACCTAAATCGGGGTCGAATCCGACTATAGTTGCCGAGCCGTTTACGTTTACAAACTCGTTTGTCGGAACGGAGGAGTACTTATCTCCGGAGGTTTTGAACGGCACGGGACACTCCGGTGCCGTGGACTGGTGGGAGTTGGGGATTTTTATGTACGAGATGGCGTACGGGACGACCCCATTCAAGGCTGCGACTCGAGATGAGACGTTCAGCAATATAACGAACGCAAAGTTGACGTTTCCGGACAACATTCCGATGAGCGAAGATTTCAAGGACTGCGTCAGAAAGCTTCTGCAGCGCGATTCAACGAGTCGCCTTGGTACGCTTGGCGGAGCGGAGGAGATCAAATCCCATCCGTTCTTTAGTTGTGTCAATTGGGGGTTACTTCGTTGGGAAGAGCCGCCGTACGTGCCGAAACCTCGACGCGCTGCGCCTGTGCGCGACGAGGAGATCTTCGAGATGGAGATTTAGGACACCCATAGCATAAAATTTTTTCATATCCCACAAATGCGCCCATTCTAAGCAAATCAATACGCGTCGCCGAACAGCTAAATGGGCGGAATGAACGGCTCGGCCTCGTCGTCGTCGTCGTCGTCGCGCAACGCCTTCACCAGTGGGTGCTTCTTTAACTCTGGTTGAATCGTCACGATGCGCTCAATCAAGATCCTCGTCGCGTTCAGGTCTTGTCTACAGTTCAACTTCAACGTCGCCCAGTTAAACAACACGTCCACGTCGCTCTCATTACCCTCGAGCGCCTTCAAGTAGAACGCCTCCGCCTCGTCCAACTCTCCGCGCTCCTGTAACATCATCGCCAAATTGTTCGCCGCATCGACGCTCATCCCGAGCTCTAACGCTCGCCGATACTCTCGCTCCGCCTCTTCTAACTTTTCCAACGTCTGATAAAAATTACCCAACCTAAATCTCGCATCCGCCGAGTCGTTCTCCGCGCACGCGCGCTCGAAAAACTCCCGAGACTCCTTCACGAGCTCATCGAACGCCCACCGCACCTCGTCCGCGCGCTTCTCGTCACCGTTCGCTCGAGCCTTCTCCAGTTCAACCCGTCGGGCCGCCTTCAGACCTTCGAACGACGTGCGCTTGCTCACGCGTAAGATTCCCTCGGGCGAATCCGCGCTGGCGAAACCTCGCGACGACGAACTGCTCGGTCGTTCGCCTGTCTCGTCGCTCCGCGCGCGCGTGCGCGCGTGGAGGCGACGGGGCGCGGGCGACGGCGCCGATGAAGCGCGCGCACGCGGGAGGACGGCGACACGGACGCGCGCAAAGAGCATGGTGAGAAGTGTCGGTTGTCGCTTTGGAGGCTTCTCGTCGGAGCGCGCTGGTTTTACGTGTTGACTCGTTTACAGCATCGCTCGATGCTCGCTCGGCTAAAAGTGACATCACACCGCGTCGTCGTCGCCGGCGAAATAATGCGGTCGGTCGTCGTCATCATCGTCGGGATCGGGTGAGCGAGGGGTCTGGCCCGGCGTGACGACGACGTCGGCGACGATTTCTTCGTCAAACTCCTCGGGCGCAGGGAGATCCAATTGCGCCGCCGTGGCCGACGTTCGACGGAAGAACAGACCTGGGGTATCAATTTGGCGCGTGCGCGGCAAGTACTCCTGCATGATCTCCTCGATCGCGTCCGAGGCGTCCTGGATGATCTTGAGCTCCTCCGGCGCGATGTTCGGCGAGTCGCTCGCGAGTTCGCGGAGCGTGGCGAGATGAAAGATGAGCCTCTCTCGAGGCGACGACCCCTTCAGACCCGTTTGCGAGTCCGCCTCTGACATGACGCTCCCAAGAATGCTCCCTTCACGTTCTCGAGTGCTCGAATCGCGCCGGAAGCTCCTCGACTCTTCCAAGAACTGCTCGAGGCTTTTGACGCTTCCGCCGCCAGAAGCTCGCGGAGCAAATTCAAAAGACGCCCGTCGTCCGTCCTCGTCACTGCCCACTAAAGATTCCTTTACCGCGAGTTCGATCGAGGCCCTGCGCTCTCTTTCGACGGCGTTGATGGTGGACTCGTTATTTTCCTTGTCATCCACGACTGCTTTGCGCTCATCCTTTTGCAACCACTTCGGTCCGAGAGAGGAGATGATCATCATTCCGACCGGAGCGGTGAGAATGATCGCGAACACGGCGGTGGTCAATATATCATTCCCCCAATCCACGTATTCCGCCGACTTATTATTATCGATGATGGCATCGAGAGGATCGGACGCCAGAGCCGCTTGCACAGTGGCTTTCGGAATCCATGCCAGGGAGACGAACGCGCGCTCCAAATGCGTCAGAGGATTCTTACCACCGCCCACGGAGAAGTACGCCACGCACAAACGAATGCAAACTCCTATCGCGAGTAAGCCCAGCGACTTTGGAATCGTCGATGGGGTGATGTCCTCAAACTTGACGGCGGTGCCGATGACGCCAAAGAGGAGTGGCTGAAAAATGAAACGCCACAACTTTGCGAGATCCGTCTCGGCGGCGTGCGCGGCGTCGGGCGCTGGTCCATTACTGAGAGACGGAAGCGGCTTCCCCGTCGACCAACATTTGTTGGCCGCGATGCCCAAGGCGAGCGACGCCATTGCGCCGCCTCCGCTGAAGTTGTACTGCCTACCCATGAACATGAAGAAAATGCCTAGGACGAAAATCATGGACGATCGCTTCCACGGCTCGTTCAAAATGAGTGTCATGCCGCACAAAACACCGCCGAGTGAACCGACGACGAGGCCCGTCAAAACGTCCACCGGACCGTGCAACACGGTCCAAGCCATGTTTCCGTGTCCACCGAGGGCGAATGACTTGAAAATCGTGTATCCGGTGATGGCGACGACGTCGTCGAACGACGCCGCCGCGACGACGAGCGAAGGAATGCCCTTCGTGACGCCGTAACCCCTAGACTGCAGCTCGAACATCCCAAGCACGACCACCGCGGGCGACACCGCGGCCAGAATGAATCCCAAGCACATCCCCAGCGGAAACGACATTTTGAAAATTAACATGGAAAATAATCCGCACGTCAACGCCTCGCACAATCCCGGCATGAGCGTCAATCGGGCCGCCATCCATCCCACGCTCTTGAACGCATCCAAATCTAACTCCAACCCGCTTCGCATTAAGATCACACTCAAACCCGCCGCTCGGATATCGCTCGACCACCGCTCCGGTAAGTCGTCCACCAACTCGCCCGGAACGTTTCGTAGCAACAAACCCATCAACAACATCCCGATGAGCGATGGCACACCCAGCACGTTCGCTCCCGCCCCCCCCAAGTGCGCGCACGCCCACACGATCAACACGCTCCACACCGCTCCACCGGGCACACCCACGGTGTCTCCATTCGGCGCCATGACGCGTCCGAATGCGAATCGCGCCATGGCCCAGAGCGCGCACGCCATGAGCGCGAACGACACCCGATCGAGCGCGCGCGCGGCGTCCACCCTGGACCAGAGCGACCCGCGCCGTTGTCCTCGCGCGCGCGTCCCGTTCGCGCCCTCGACGCGCGCCCCGGCGCCTCGCGCGCCGCGTCGACCGGTCGCGTTCGTTTTCGTCGCGTCCTCATCATCGCGCGTCGCACGCGCGCGCTGGACGAGCGCGGCGTCGTCGGCGCGCGACATCGCGCTCGTCCAGCGCGTCGCCCGGGCGAGCGAGGCGTCGCGCGATGCGGCGGTCGCGTCGACGGTCGAAGAGTGACGATTGCGCGAATGGGTCGAAACGCTCTGTGATGGAGGAGACCAAGGGACACCGAAGAGACATCGAAGCGACGCGCGGGACGAGGGATGGATTTCGATCACACGTCGACGCGGTTCAGAGCAACGCGGCGTCTCCGGGGACGCTGGCGTGGAACTGGGCGGCGAGGATGGCTAATTTTCGCTCGAGCTCGCTCGCGCGCTCGCGCTCGCGCGAGAGGTCACGCTCGAGCTCGGAGCGGCGCCGCTCGTCGTGGAGGTGCGCGCGCGCGAGGCGCTTGGCGTCGGATCGAAGACGGCGTAACGCGACTCGGAGGTCGGTATTTTCGTTTCGTAAGGCGTCGACGGAGGCGCCGATACCGAAAAAGGTGGCAGCCTTTGGCGGATCCGTATCGAGATCGATCGACGCCAACACGCGCTCGGCGACCGCCGCGGCGGAGATCTCGTCGTTTTCTTCGTCTCGTATATCTCTCTCGTCGTCGTCGTCATCGTCGTCATCGCCGTCGTCGTCGTCTTCACCGTACTCTTCTTCGTCGCTCCTCGTATCATTTTCTGCGACTTTTCGCGCGTCGTCGTCGTCCGCTTCGGCTCCGCGCGACGGGAAATCAGCCGCGAGGCGTAATACCTGCGTGTCGTTTTGACAGTTCCCGTTGTATCCGCCGAACGCGATGATGACGTCATCCGAGCCATCCGGCGTACTGAGCGCGCACAGAGTCATGCCCTCGCCCACGACCGGAGGACTCGGAAGCGCGTCCGGCGACACCCAAGTCATCTCTTCTAAATCGAGCACCGTGCACACGTCCAAGCCGCGCACGTTGTTCCCGCCGCCGATGAGCGCCCAGTAACGCCCGTCTCGAAGTAATGCGCCGGCGTGCCCGGCTCGAGGCGGGGCCGAGGGCCCGTCGCGAGGAGTGAGTTGCGTCCACTTGTGATACGCTAAATCCAAAACGTGTAAAGTGTCGAAACATTTCGTCGATCGTCCCGTGCCGCCGAACACGAGCAGCGCGTCCGGTCCCCACATCGCCGCCGCGTGGTCCGCTCGCGGCTCCGGCGGGTGCCCACCGGGCGCGTGCACGTGCTCCCACTCGAGCGACGTCATGTCTAAGATCCAAGCGTCATTCAAGAACCTACCCTCTTCGTCTTCGCCGCCGAAGACGACGAGCCTGTTCCCGCCCGTCGCGGTGACCGACGCGCCTCTGCGCGCCACCGGCTTCTGTTCGCCTCGCGTCTCGACGCGAATCCACTCCACCTCATCTAAACCATCTCGAAGAATCATTTTGAACACAGAAATCGAGGACGACGACGGCGACGTTCCGCCCTTGAACCGCCCGCCGACGACGTAGACGTCGTTTCCCACGCGAATCGCGCGATGTCCCGCGCACGCCGGCAGCGCGCGATCGGGTGTCGCCGACATCGGCGTGCGTAAATTCCTCCACGTCCACGTGTCTAAATCTAGCTCGTGCGTATCCGCACAAAATCCTTCCATTTCATACGTTTCATGCTCTCTATGAACGCATGAATACAGACGCGTTCATGGAGGAGAGGAGCACGGCGTGCCCGCTAAAGATAAAACTGATTGGAGCGCTTCTGTACTTGGCTTATGGTTGTCCGTGGGACGCTGTCGAAAACCAAGTGAACGTTGACAAGCGGACGCTGCGGGATTGGTTTTGGAACAAGTTCATCCCGTGGATGTTGGATAGAGAGTATCCTAATCACGTTCGTTATCCGCAGTCAGAAGAAGAACTGCGCCAGTTGCTGTGGCCGTACGAGCACGCTGGGTTCCCCGGAGCCATCGGGTGCACTGACGGTGTGCACGTGCCGTACGGCGCGTACCGCTCTGGACGCCGATACATGTACGCAGATCACCACGGCGGCTTTTCCCTAGGTTTCAACGTCACGTGTGACTACCACGGCAGAATAATCTACGTGTCTGAGTGGTCAGCGGGAAACACGAACGACAAGACAAAGATTAACGACGACCATTTCCAAAGCGTGATAATGCGCGAAGACCCACTCTATACGCAACAGAGATCGATCGTTCGAGTCAGTGATGACGCGTTCGAAACCATCCAGGGCGTGTACGTTCTCTCGGACGATGGTTACCACAGATGGCCTACAACGGTGAGCTCCATCAAGCGACCAATCCCGAGCTCGTGGGACGCGAAATGGACGCGCTGGCACGAATCTCTCCGCAAAGAGATCGAGTGCGTTTTTGGTATCATGAAGAAGAAGTTTGCAATTCTCGCCCATCCAATGACGAGACACCATGAGGGTGACTGCGAGAGTGTCGTGAAGGTCTGCGCATGTCTGTACAACATGACACGCCCCGACCCATGCGAGGAGTTTAATGATTGGCGTCGAGTCAACGCGGCTGATATGCACCGCGTGTACGGTCCCAACTTCGACGTTGCGAACTATGCGTATGCCCCGGAGCCGCTCAAACACCAGCCTCCTACTATGCATCAAACGCGGAGTGCTCTGACTAAGCATTTCAAATATCATTTCGAAGCGCTGCGAAATGACAAGGAACACGAAGTCCTCAATGAAATAGCGCAACTGTAAGTCGAGTGTACAACGACCGAATGATAATGATGACAACATGTAATACAAAAAAACAAAACTGTGATCTTCGGGGTCGACGCTCGTAACGGTAAAACGTGAATGAGCATGTTGAAGAGGGCATCATGACAGGCGTTGTAAGCGTAGCGGAGTGTGACGCTCTCGTGTAGATCGGCGAGTCGGCGAATTCACCTGCAGTACGGATGTCTCTTCTCGAGCACGTTTCCGAACCGGCGACGCTGCGCTCGCCTCACACAGAACGTTCGGCTCAGTGGTACCGTGAGGCATGATGATCTCTGCAGGTGTCACCGGTGGGACGCTCGAGGGAATGTTCTCGGCACTGATCGTGTTTTCGGCTCCGATCGGCTCAGTCGCTTCGCCTTCGTCAGCCGGCGCATTGGAAGGCGCCTCCGAACCCGTTCGCGCTGGAAGTTGAAGTTCACCTTGCGTGACAAAGCGCATCATCATTTCAAGCACATCGTTGGTACGACGCAATTCCTCGATGACCTGTCGCTCGAGCGCCTCTTCTCTCATAGCACGCGTAGGTGACTTATCCGGCGCCATGGTTATCGGATGTACCGACTCGCGACGTGCTGTCGCCGCCGCTGTGCGCTGCTGTAACCGACTGGCAGTGTTCGCAGCCGAAGTGCACCTGTCTTCGTGTCTTAGCGCGAACTCCGGTCTCGCCCGTTCTTTCAGCGTCCTGTACGCAGCGGGATCGAGATACGGGGAGTCTGGCGCCACGTACCTGAACACCCAAAGGGTCGCTTCTGAATGTTTTTCTTTCAAAGCTTCGGTCTCTTGCTTGTCCCAAAAGTCCTGACGGGCTTTTCCAGACTCGCCTTGTTGGTTTCCGCACGCTCTGAAACCACGTCGGAAAACGTGCGCGACTTTGAGCACGTGTGCCTTCACAGCCTTTCCACGTTCGAACACAGTCTTGTTCGCTCCGACGACACCGTGTTCGTTGACTTCTTCGCACCGACGTGCGTCGATGGATTCCTCGGGCGTCCTCGCGCCGTGTACGGTCGTCGATGGTTTCCACAGACCCAACGCGGCGAGCTCCCGAACGTAATGGGGGTACTGCTTGTTAGCGTG